ATTGGTTTTTATTTCCATTCTTTCTTGATGCAGTAATGTCAGAAACAAAATGAAACCGACTAAAGTATCTGATTTTCGAGCGTAACAATTGGTTGTTTAAAAGTAATTGTTTAGTCCATGATGGTATTTCATTTTGTGATCCTTGTAAGTTGTAACTCTGCCTGTCACTGCGAAATTGCAGACTCCAACGAATACAAAGTTGTCAATGCTAATTTGTTTTCTTTAACCTGTCATAAACCATATAAAAATTCACCATAAACTCACAAGTTATGGTGGATCTATTGTAATGTAGGATTAATAAATGAATAGTGCCTGTTAAGTATTGGAGCCACAAACCTGTTGCTCCTTCAACAGATTGAATGCCAATGTGTAATAGCAAGTTTCTGCTGCTGTGTGGGAGCTAGGGCCATCAGGCTTACCAAGGTAAAATTATCTGAAAAGAGTTTTCAACTAAGTAGAACTCAGATTGGGTAAAATCCAGGCAGAGAACATGACCAGTAGGCCCACTTAGTCCAATGAAAAAGTTGCAAGTGTATACTGAGTGACGATCACAATGAAGAAAAATGTCATGAAAATTCTTGGTGGTCTCCCCCTTTGTCCACAAAATTGACTTTGACCTGCTATAAAAGGTTACCTTCCCGGAGGAAATTGTTGCAGCTAGAGCATCCCTGTTAACAAAAAGTGAAAAAAATCACACCAGTCCTTATTCCATAGAAGTTTTTAAAAAGTTAAAAAAGAAAAAAAGAACAAAGGAAAACCTTTGCCATGGACTTGAGATGATACAAACTTGAGACATATTGTTCTGAAAAAAAAAAATTTTTTAAAAAAATCTTTTTTACTCCAAATGTGTTTTGAAGGAATCTGAAGAAATTGCTAACACATAGAGATGTGGAATCCAGATGTACCCTAGGCAGGCATTAATGGCCAATTTCCGAGCAACGATGAACTACTTCAAGAGAAATCCAACACCGAGATAGAAACCCATATCAGAGTTCTCCTCCCCTTTCTTTTCTTTTCCAGACATTAAACAATCCCTACCATCGATATATATAGTAGACACCTGACAATGTCTGGTTGGTGAGGTGCATATCTAAAAGGCAACCAGGATGAGGCACTGACTTGAAACATCCCAAATGTAGAGCATAGTATTGAGGAAGGAAAGAGAGAAATCTAGCTCCAAATGTAGCACAGACAATAACTAAATGTGTTCGAGATGAAAATGAAGAAACTGTTAATATATACTCAAAATGTGGAGTCCAGATGTAGCCCAGGCAAGCATTAAGGGCCAATTACCGAGCAACGATAAACTCCGTCAAGAGAAATCCAACACCGAGATGGAAACCCACCGTCAGAGTTTTTCTCCCCTTTCTTTTCTTTCCCAGACATGTAAAAGTACCTACCATCTAGATATATAGTAGACACCTAACAATGTCTGGTTGGCAACACGACTTAAACACGCATATATATAAAAGACAACCAGGATGATGCATTAACTCCAAACATCCGGAATGCAGTGCATAGTATTGAGGAAAGAAAAGAGCAAAATCTAGCTCCAGATGTAGCACAGGTAATAAGTAAATGTGTTAAAGAAGAATACGAAGAAATTGCTAATATAAACTTGAAATGTGGAGTACAGATGTAGCCCAGGCAGGCATAAACTGCCAATAGCCGAGCAACGATGAACTCCTTCAGGAGAAATCCAACACTGAGACGGAAACCCATATCAGAGTTTTCCTCCCCTTCTTTCCTTTTCCAGACATGTAACAGCAGCTACTATCTATATATACAGTAGACACCTGACAATGTCTGGTGGGCACCATGAAAATGCATATTCTAAAAGATGATGCATTGAAAAACAAAAAAGGGTATTGAACAAGAGAGGATTTGTTGAAAAGCATACCTCAGTGTTAGGTTGCAGAGCCTGCTCTGCTTTGATTGTTTCGGTTTCTCCTCCAGTTGAAGCGAAAGGAACGAACTTTACCAGCCGGATGGTACTCATCGGAGCAATACTGGAGGTGGGGATCCTATCCAGAAGAAGAGACAAAAGGGCCTCGGAGATTTGGTGGAAATGGACAAGGGGTATTATAAAGGAAAAGCCCTAGACAGCTGCCTTGTGAGGAAGGCGGCCATGGGAACATTGAGACAGCGCAAAGAGCAAGAGAATTTATAGAGGTAGGCAACGAGACTGGGAGTACAGTGTTCTTGGGCCACCTGGATAGGTTCAGGTTGGGCCTCGTAGCCCAGTGGTTTTATTTATTTATTTATTTTTGTACTCATTGTCATTTTAGGACTGTTTGGCAGAGCTTGCTCTTCAACTCGCTTCCGAACTTTCTTTCCTTTCAAAAGCATTAAATTTTTTTTCTTTGAAAAAGTATTTTTCCATTTATACCATTTTAACCTATAAAACAATAATTGTTTGATGGGAAGTAGA